TCAGCAGGATTCTGTAGCTACGCTGGGAGCAGGAGACGGTGTCTTTCTGGCTCCCAGGCTGTTGCTCCAACTATGGAGCCACAGTCCACGAGGCATTTGAATACAGGTATGTTCTCGTGGGTTTTGCTCACTAGCTGACCATAACTTCCAGCTGACTGTCTGATGGGAGGGAGACAGAGGTACTGTCTCCCTATAGCCCGCAGCTCAGCAAAAGCTGCAGATCACAGTGCAAGCTGATTTCCAACTCTCCACTCAAAAGGCAGCATCTTTTATAACCCACACTGGTATAAGGAACATCAGTGAAGCTTTCAGACAGAGATGGAGTGCTACTTAAGTGACTAGTGAAGAATGTCAACTCTTGTGTACTAGGTGAAACCCTGCTTAACCCTCAACTAATAACTTTGCTTTGCTCTGCATAAAATGGCTCTGGTTGTGTGCTAGGGATGACAGAGACACCCTCTTTACCAGTATCTAATGTCTTTGGGGTCTTTTCCTGCTCCTCCGACCAACTACAACCTATTTGTAGAACTCTGCCAATACAAATCACTCCTGTCCATGACACAGAGACCTGTTGCAGGCACAGGGGTTTAGCCCTTTCAGCTGTTATACAGAACACAGGATCACTTCTCCTAGTGGACACTGGCGGCCAAGCCTCACCTCCATACTGAGATCCATCTGCTGTGATGGCATTGAGAGAGAGATTAGTCTGGATGTAGCCAGGGCTCACAACAGTCACATCGATTTCAAACTGCTCCACCTCTGCTCGTAGACAATCGAAAAAGGCCTGCGTGGCGTGCTTAGAGGCTGCATCTGCAAAACAAACCTGAGCTGTGCAGTAAGAGCAGGGCTTTTCTCCCACAGTTGCTCATCAGAGACATGCAACTGTTTCTCAACTGAAGCACAGGAGCCATTTACTTGCACATGGCAACACCATGGTGCCTTTTAAAAGAAGGGAGCAGCAGCATTAAGGGACAATAAAGGTAGTTTAGAAAGGAAAACACTGGAAACTGGCTGGGATACTGGCTTCAGGGCTGTCCAACTCACAGCCCATAAGCAGTTAACATGTGGGCCACAGGTCCCTGCAGCCACCTCTCCCACTGCTGCACAGTGGAGCAGGACCCAAAGGGAGATGAGGGCACACGCTGGTGCTGCATATAGCCCTAGCTGCAAAGTTGGATAGCCTTTCAATAAGCAATGCAGCTCCTCCCTGTAAAAGAAGAGATGTTCTATCTAGGATCTGATCTGCTCTCCAAGCTCTTTGGGTGAAGGCCTCATCTGTTTGCATATGCTTTTGCTAAGGAGCTGTGCCGCTTACAGTGGCCTTTATGAAACAAGACGACAAACTTCAGCTTGACAGTACTGCCAGGATACGACGCAATAAAGTCACGGTATTAAACAACAATAACTTCCTAACGGTCACACAAGATTGTATGGCTTATGCCAAGACAGAGATGCCCAGCAGTTTTCATATTAGAATCCCAGGTTGGGGACAGGATAAGGAAGGAGAATTTTAAACTAGAGTTAAGATTCAGAGTTAAGGTTTTAAGACTTATGATGGTATCTCTGCTCCCTGGAACACTTCTCACCAGTGTCAGCAGTTTGTGACCACACCAAAAATGTTGCAAAGCCCTGGTATTCCATGCATACTACCAGCCCCAAGGATGCAGCGTGTAGAAGCAGTATCCAAGTACTAAGTCGAGTGCCCAGATTCCTGCTCGCCATCCTCTGCAGAGGTACTTACATGCTGATCTGAAAGGAATGCTTATTTTGCCTTGAACACTGCTGATTGCCACAATGTGGCCTTGTCTTCTTTTGATCATGGAGGGTAGAAGTGCTGGAGAGAGAGACAGAAAAGACTTGTTCAGAAGCACAGTAGGGCTATTACTGCAGTCAAGAATGAGTGTCTAGGAGAGCAGTGGTACTGAGAAACATGGGGTCACCTCAGGTTTGCTGAGCCAATTTAGGAGTGAGGCAAAGGGAATTTTGCACTGAAGCTCCTTCCTGACTGCTGATGCCAGAAGCCCTTTGTGCCAACAAGCCTGAAGGAGCATCTCGCGCACTGAGGATTCCTGCTCCTCCAGGTCTGCTTGAGCTTGTAAGGGAGCAGGCAACCTCCACCTGGAGCTATTCTGCAAACTCAAGATGAGCGGAGGGTTTTGAGATAAAGAGGATGACAGCATTTACAAGGGAAAGGGAAGCAAATCATCGCAGAGAGAGAGAGAGAGAGAGGTGCTAGAAGAGGTGTCTGCCTGTTTCAAATTCTGTGGCCTGGCAGAGCACAACCCTTCTGAGGGCAATAAAGGGGCTTTTGTTCACTGTTCAGTAGTTCCAAGCTCATCTCAGGTCACTGTTTCCCAGATGAATCCCTGCTTTGCTGTCTGTGTGGAAGCTTCCAAACTGCAGACAGACAAAAAGGGCTATAAACCAGGGTTACACAAAAGAGCAGCGTAGGCAAGGGGGAGTAAAAGCAGCTGAGTCAGGGAATGGGGAGAGGGCTCACTTCTAAAAAAAATCCCAACTTCGTTGACATGAGGGTGGTAAGATAAAGTGGAGGGAAACAGGGAAGGAGCTGCTGCAGCTGCAAGGGCAGGGATGTGGGAGCAGGTAGTCCCAGATGGAAGAAGCAGGCCAGCCATGCTTGAACGCACAAGAGGGAAAGGGGAGTCAGGTCATAGGTACCTTTTGTGAACGCAACAGGCCCAAAGTAGTTGGTTTCCATCACTTTTTTGTCCACGTCCACCCCCGTGTCCAGGATCGTGCCTCGGTAACTGATGCCCGCATTGTTGATCAGTATGTCCACATGACCCAGATGCTTCAAGATCTCTTCAGCAGCACTTAAAACGGTGTTAGTGTCAGCCAGGTCAAAGACCACGGTGTAAGGTTTGTGCACCTGTGAACAGATGACAAGTTAGCAGACGGGCTGCTGGCTGTTCTGCCCACACACTCCTACTTCTTGGAGGGAAGGCGGAGATCTACTTCTCTATGTCGACAGCGCAGAAAGGAGCACCCAAAGGCTCTCCACATGCATCAGACTAAATGCTTATTTCCTTTGGTGTGGTTAGAAGAACCTAAAGGCACCAACATGCAATGCTCCATCTTCCTCCACAGGCCTTGCCAGCATGCAGTGCTTTGTATAGATTTGAACAGGATGGTGTCCACCTCTTGTCACCCCTCCAAAAGCACAGAAAGGACTGCCACCGGCCCCTTTGTAGGTCTCTCTGGTCCTCCTTCGGCCACCTCCGTGCAACGTGTGGTCATTCCTGCATTAAATTCTCATGCCTTTAATGCCCCATAAGGAGCCATCCCATAGGAGCCTGTCAAGGAAAGTCCATTCTCCCTTTTCACCCACACCCTGTAAACAATCGTATTGTCCAACTACTGGGGATTTGAGACACTGAATCAGTAATGCTAAATGCACACATTCTGGGATTCACCCTGAGAAACAGTTATACACAGTAAAGTCTTCTCAGCACAGACTCCAAAGTGAAGGAGCTTCTATACAGCATAAACAGACTCTTCTTCTTTAGTAATAAATGACTGGACCTTTATCAAGGTGCTCCAATTCACCTAGAAATTCAGGGCCATCTAGCTATACCAGTATTAGAAAGGCCTGCATGGAAGAAGCAGAGACACAGAGCTACTCGACAGGAAAAGAGGACTGGTACTATCTTCTGGCCTAAGAGCACAGCTCCAGATTCCCATGTTGCTAGTTTAGCCTCAGCAACCTGGAAGTACCGACAGAGGGTGAAGACACCAAACTCTCCCCTCTCCTCATTACATCCTGCTCGCTCCTTCAAGGTGGGTCTGTGGGTAGAAGGGGAGGTAATGATACAGCTTAGGGCATCAAATCCATTTTGCTCCATCTCTGCACTTGGTGCAGAGTCAGGGTGGAGGAGACTGCAAGGCTGCTTTAAACCATCTTCACACCTCCCTTATGCTGCTCTCAGTTGTGCCAACTGGTAACTGCAGCACAGCGGGGCTGGCATTGTGCCATGTACTTCTCCCTCAGGCTGCTCCCAACACCTTGAGGAGGATCTTGCTTGCTGAATTTGCTGATGTTTTATTACAGGAAGAAATGGGAGATGTGCTCAGCAAATCCTAATCCAGGCAGTTGCAGGGGGATTGGGCCTGCCCTGACTTCACCTGTCACTACACCCTTCTGTTCAACAAGCTTCAGAGGTAAGGATTCCAACCCAAATTAGAGCCAAAGATGTTGCTCTGCCAAACTAGACATGTGGGAGGTGTGGGGCCCTGCACCCTTCACAGGACCACAGGAATGTAGGGATGGAAGGGACCGCACAAGGTCATCTAGTCCAGCCCCCTGCTCAAGATAGGATCATCCCTGATTAAACCATCCCAGCCCAGTGTCTAACTTGCTTCTGAAAATTTCCAAGGATGGAGATCCCACAGCTCCTCCATGTAATCTGTTCCACTCTTGTCAGAAAGTTCCTCCTAATCTCCAGCCTAAACGTTCCCTGATGTATCTTGAGGCTCCAGCTCCTAGTCCTGTCCCCTACAGCTACAGACAAAAAGCCCAACTCCATCCTCTTTATAATCACCCTTCAGTTATTTGAAGATTTATCAAATCCCCTTCAATTTTCTCTTCTCCTGTGAGCAGTCCCAGGCCACTCAAGTTAATTTCCGGCAAGATAGGACACATTAGTGTAACACGCTCCCAGCGAGGCAACTAAATGCTGGTAACAGCAGAGCTGTCCCCCTCTCATTACTCAGCACCCCACAAAGGCCACAGCAGCTCTACATTTCCTGTAGCCAGAAGACCTGAATACCAGCAGCCTGTTCTTCCCTGCATGCTTACGTTCTTTGGGTGGTTGGTCATAGCAGAAAGCTCCCGCACCAGGTCCTGGAGTCTCTCGCTGTTTCTGCCACAGAGCACGAGCTTGGAGCCAGCTATGTGGAAAGCCTTGGCACACTCTTTGGGAGGGAGAGAACAGAAGAGAAAAACGGATGTTTTAAATGTCAAGTGTGGATTTCAGATGCATTTTATACCTGGAGGTCTGCTGTAAAGATCCCACTGACAAGTTCAGGATAGCTATGCTAGTTACAAGAGACCAAGCCATCTCTCAATCAGTGCCATTAAACCCTTTCAGACTACAGCAAGATACCATTTCTATTAAATATATGGCACAATGAAGATGCATCTTAATTATCCATTTTCGACACTGCCCAATGGCGTTAGTCCCACCAGAGAAGACTTAGCATAAGAGAGAAGCTATAGCAGGCAGCTGGCATGATTCCTGTTTCAATCATGATCATCTTGCTCCTCCCATGCATTTGTGACCACCTAGTTTGAGAACCTTGGGCAAAGGACACATTTATATTTAATCAGGACCATTTTTCTTCTTGTGTGTATATAGTATGGAGCACCATGGGAAAGGCACTTAAGTGCTACTCCTATGGAAAGAATCACCTTGCAAAGCTTTTCTAGGCTCTTGTTAAAAGTACAGTATTTCAACATACCAAGAAACAAGATATCCTTCAGTGACAGAAAGGGTGTAGGGGAGGTGGGAAGGCCCAAAACAAATACACACAGGCTTCTTGAGGCATTTGCATTAGCCTGGGCCTTGGGGAAAGAGGCTGAGCAATCATGACTAGCCAGCTGCACCAAATCAGTGTGTACTAGTAGATCTGTACTCTCAAGGACACTTTATTCTGCCCTTGCCCTGCCCTAAAGTTCGCGGCTCCTTTCCATCTAGCTACAATTATCGCAGCCCTTAAGTCAAGGTCATAACTTCAAGTTAACGGTTTTCCTTCCCTGTCAGGGCCAGTAATGTAACTCTTGGGAGGCACAAAAATAACAGTCGTAGCAGTTGTTGGCTATTTGCACTACTGCCCCCAGCAGTCACCACTGTCCAGGACACAAGAGCTGCTCCGTTACGCCTCTGTTCAGAACAGTTTATCCCTAGCAGGTTTCTTATGCTTCAGCATGGCTTCACATTCTTCTGCACCCTCTGAGCATGACCGAATGAGTTGAGGCCTGTACCACAGGGAACTACAGCGTGATATCACAGAGTGCGGACCAGCATGTAGGTAAGTGTCAATGCTTGTAAATAGCCTTGAAGGAGAAAAAAAAACAACTCAAAAGCAGATAACCTCTGCATGAGCTCTTCTTGCAGTGGAGCTGAAGGGGGACACAAGACCTCACGTTTAAATAGGAGATGAAGTACTCTGGACTTGGGGGACCCTTTTCTCTTTATAAGTTGAAAAGCAAAATAGCAGGGAAAAGATGCCTAAGGACATATGGCATTTCAGCTGCAATGCACGTGCTCAGCCTGTGAAGGTCTCTCCTCGGACACCAGGTCTGTCAGTCTTCTAAACATGAAACATTACACCCGCCAACTACTTCTTGATCTTCGGTTCTAACTGGCCAAGGAGGTGGGCATTTAAATTATTCTGACCACGCAGCTAGTGAGGTTGGTGTTTCTCTAGGACAGCTCTTCACACAAGAGTACATGCACAAGCTGCCCATATGCCCTGATGGGGGATCACAAGCCATCAGAAAGGATGCTGTATTCTCAAGAAGTCAAGGGCTTTCTGGGAAGGATGAAGGAGCACATCTAAGCAAATGCATAACCTCCCCCCCACAAAAAACTACTGAGTTAGTCTTGATAGCAGTTAAAATGCCTCATGTGTCATGTGCACACAAAGTTCCTGGCTCTTGCAACTGATGTGGACTGTCTGAACAGGGTTTTGTGTCAGGGGAAGGTGGAGTACTTGTGGCATCAGGCCCTTTAGGTGGGATAGACGCACACTGCAAAAGAGGGTCGGACAACTGGAAGTACAAGAGAAGATGGGAACAAGAGCACCAGCAGGCAGGGCTTACCAAATGATCTGGTATCCTAGCCTTTCCAGCAAGATAGGCAAGACTCACCTTTCCCCAGGCCAGACGTAGCCCCTGTGATCACCACCACCGCGTCCTGCAGATAGGCTCGCATTCGCATGCGCTGCAGCAGCCTGAAGAGGCCAAAGATACCCACACTGCCAATAAGCAGTGGGATGATGACAGTGCTGGTGAAATCCATGAGCTTCGCTTTCTGAATGTTCCTCCTAGAGCCGCACAGTTAAAACAAGCAGAGCATTACACAGGTTAGAAATCTAGGTGGTCACTGAGCCTCTTTCTTGTTAGGATGTCTGAGCAGATTTGGAAGCATATCTGTCCCCTCTCCCTGCCATCCCAGCCCCTCCAGTGTGCATCTTTAAGGGAACATCCAGCTCCTGCATGTAGACCCTCCAAGTGATAGAATCACAAATATCCATGCTAAAAACCAAAAGGCTAAGTTGAGTGTCACAACAGGACATGGTCTCAGATATTTTAAAGGTACTTGGCTACAAAATAGCCTGAGAGGCCATTTCCAACATCCCCCTTTCTACCTTATTGGATGTTTTCTTGTGCACCACAGTTAGACAAAAGGGTCCTTCGGCCCGGGAAGTTTCTCTGCATGCCTGTGGATGCTATACAAACATCTGAGACTTTTCTGTGGGATCTATCACCACCATATGAAAATGGCAGACACAGATCTGGAGCTTCACAAGAAACATTCCCTTCAAGCAGGTGATTTGTTAACTATTGGAAATTTTTACGTCTCCTGCTAAAACAGCAGTGCCTGTCAGAAACAGGTAATCTGATTCCACAAGCCAGGGGTCTGATCATCAAGGAGCCTTCAAGTCTGCCTCTAGTAATTAGTTTATTTTTATACATTTTCTTAGTAGCCTACGTTCGAACAGACCAAACTCCAGCTTGCAAATGAAACCCAAACCATTGGTATCTAGAAAAACCTGGCCTAACTCAGGAAAAGATTTGGTTTTGAAACACACGTACCTAATTTACTAGCTAAGCCATTGCCTTGATGCGAGTAAGTTATGGTACAGGTCACTGCATCCCCACAGCGTAAGCAATACCTCTGCAATACCTCTGTTAAACTGCCCACCCTGAGCCCCGATTTTTTTTGCTGTTTGGTATCACAGTGAGATGAGACCTTTTTTAAAAAAAATCATCCACTGGAATCCAGAAGTTATTTTCGGTCAGATAACAGGTAGAGCCAGACTCCAGCATCTCTCCCTCTTCCTGCAGTTTCAGCTCTAAAGTGCATTTCCTGCTAAGGCCTGATCATGTATCTTATTTTACAGTTAATATCCACCTTGAACGTAGAAGGGCAGGCTCATGAGCCGGGCAGGGATCAGCGAGGGAACTCAGAGCACCAATCTGGAGTAACTCCATATTGCTGGGAGAGCCTGACAACTTTTACCCCATCTCTTCAGCCCTGGGCTGCAACTACTTTTACCTGACAGCTGGATGTGACGTCTCCAAAAACCAGTCAGTGCTGGAGGACTCCCCTGAGCTGGAGGGCTATTACAAACTGACACCTAGGGCTGAATACACACGGGATGCTGCCCAAAGGGAGAGACCAGGACACAGACTCATTAAGTCTCCTCCTTGCCAGTGTAGCCCATGAGATGGGCCACACAGTACAGCATCCCCCACCAAGCAGATCTTGCCAGAGATTATATAACAAGTGCAAACAGCATGCATCACTCCTAAAACCACAGTGGAGAAACTGTGTCCTTATGAGAAGCCAGAAGCTACTTGAGGCTGGACTAATAGGAGACGTGGACATGAACCAGCATGGTTTAAACTTTACAGGTTACTTCAGGTCAGATTTTCAGCTCCTGTTTAAACATATGAACTGTTTTCAACAGGAGCTGCCAGGTGCTGCTCATTTCACCTAGGTGCCAATACTGGAGTTGGAGATATTTTGATGAAGTTCCTGAACCTGTTTGCCTGTTTCCCCACATGTAAAGTGGGAATAATACCCTTTTAACCCACCTGTTAAATCACTGTGGGCAAGAGCTTCTCCCCCCATACCCTTCTACACCTCTATGCGTCACACTGTACAACTGGGCAGGAACAACTCCCCAGCGTGGCCTGCGGCACAGTTGTACAAAGTTCTTCGGCGAAACAAAGTCCAAGTTTACCCTCAACTGCCTGACTGTGAGGATCAGCCATCATGTTTCCTGCCCAGCATCTAAGCTGCTTTAATATTCATGAAGCGCCATCTAGTTTTTGCCTTTTAGACTTTTTCTATACCCAGCTCATTTACAGCCTTCATTGTGTCCCTTTTCATTTCCTCTCTGCACAAAATGTTCCCAAGCTTCCCAGATAGAAGCTTGTCCATGCCTCTGACCATTTCTGGTTGTCTCCTGATATCTTCCTATGACATGAAGGAACTGGGAAAATTGAGCTCGTCTCCACCTCACAGTCACATTGAGTCACTGGCAGAACTCTGTATTGGCAACTTCCAGTCTAGAAAGGAGCCACTGGTTTCAATGGGTGCCTAAACATCTTTGAGAAGCTGAGCCTAGGTAACTGCCTCCCACGAAGAGAGGGCAAGGAAAGAAAACATGAAGGAGAAACCTGATGAAAGAAGGGGGGAATGAGATCAAAGTACTGGGCTGAAAAAGAAGGCCTTGTGACTGGGAACGAGATTCTATGACCCTGAGGCCAAGAACAAAGCCAGCCCCAGCTGAAGCAAGCTTCAAGGATTAAGACAACCTGGCAAGCACATCAGGACGACCAAAGAAGAAAGAATTGCCCGTGCACATCACACCTGAATTTGCAGGTTTTACTTCGATCCACAAGGATCTCTTTAAAACACAAAAAGTCCCCACACCAAACAAGCTTTAAATGGAAGGCATTAAACAAACACTGAAAAGGAAGACTGAGAGATCACGCTGATAGGGGGGTTGTTTTGGCTCGCACAAGCTTTGCCGCCTTAGATACCAAGTGCATCTCATTTGAAGTGCTGGTGTTCAGTGGGAACGGCAACACTTTGGCAAACATGATTACCTCAAGAGAATAATAATAAAAAAACCCAACCCCAAGGAAACACTGATAACTAGACCGGCAGCTACCCCTGCTCCTGAAGCACGAGACCATTGGCTGGTGAAAGATTCTTGTGACTTGCTGTTTTTTTCCACTCCTGATTTTTGAGTCCAATGACAGCAAAGGCAGCACCATCCCAACATGGATAAGAAGTGAAAACTACAAACCATCCTGTAAACGTCCGTGCCCGAGGAACAATGGTCTTGGGTCCCATGGTCAACAGAGACACTACCTTAGTCCACCCTGGGTCTCTTGGTACTGGAGAACAGTTTGCCCCAGGCACGTGTGGCTCCAGGTTAGGGAACTCCATTCGTCGTTCTAGAGTCTATTTTTCTAGGGGAGAGCAAAGGTCCTGCATTCAATCAAGAACATCACCAGGGACCAAGAATGGCAGCAGAATTTAAAAGCAGTTAAAGGACTTGCCCAGCAGCCCCAAGGAATGGAGAGAGACAGTGTGCATGGCCTGATGGCTTGCCATTCAGGAGATCTAGGAGGCAGCAACACTCTCCAGGTCAGCTGGGGCTGGAAGGTTCATGCAGGGAACTTTCTTCATTTCTTGAGAGGTTTTCATTGACTAGTGACAGCTTGAATGGAAAACCCTACTCTAGCATCATGGTCAATATACAGAGTGGCAGGAACTGTGTGGACCCTACTTTGTAACCTAAATGGGATCAGCAGAGGTGGCTCTTGCTAGCTACCTGCTAGAAGAACTTCCTGAATGGGAATGAATTCTGTGGTTCCTGAAAAACAAGAATCTCTCTCCGCGTGGGTGTGCAAAGCTCCTATTAAATATCAGCTCTTTCAGCTTTTAATGGAAGCCTCACCTAGCCCTCAGTGGTTGGATGCAATCGCTCACTAGCAACATGCTGCGAAGGAAAGGTCCCCAAAGCAGCAGTGAGGCATGCTGAGGTATCTCCATATCAGCATGGGGGGGTTGAGTCAGAGGCCCAATCAAAATCCAAGGTTTGCTTTGCCACTTTAGAAGAAATAGCCATAGAATGGACTTTCCATTAAAGCAGGGGAGTCGGATCAAGGTGTGCTGTTCTGTATTCACACGGACAGTTTCCACTTGAACTACAGTCTCTTTGCTGACACAAGGTAAAAAAAAAAAATACAGTCTACGGATTTTTCTGTATTACAAGATTATCTGGTGGAGGGGCCGAAATAAATCATTGCTGGCTCCTCAGGGGGAAGGGGACAGAGACAGGTACAGGCCAGGAATCAACAAGAACTTTATTCAGAGCCACAAAATGTTGGGCTGGGATACTTTAAAGGCTGGGGAAGAAACTCAGAGCATCAAAAACCTGACATTTCAGCAGTCCTAAGGCAAAATAGCTAAGGAGGGCCTTGGGCAGAGAAAAGACCATGACCCATATATTGGCCCCTTTGCTTAATTTAAGCTATACTGGATGTCCCCCAGGCTTCCAACCTGAAAGTCTGAGATGCCACAACTGTGGTTCCAAGATGTGGCCATCCACGATGTACCTGAAGATCCACTACCTTTTCCTGCGACAAAGCTTGTAATGCAGAAGGATGTGACAAGGGGAAGACACCTTCATAACTGTCACCAGTCACTGCTCCTAACTTCAGCATGCCCTCTTCCATCCCACAGGACAGTAACATTTCATTTGACTGCACAGAGTCTCGGGGAGGGAAAAGGACTTCGTAGAGGGGACAACGCAGAAGTGGCAGAGGATGTAAACAAGCATAAATAACTGGAATTTGAAGTCTAAATTCGGTGTACTTAGCCTTTTCAAGGGCTAAATAGCATAGAACAAGTCACATCCACACATACCAATTAAAAATGTTTCCTTCAAAAGAGAAGAGCCCTTAAGTCAGGAACGACTTCAGATGGCACGAGAGGGCTAGTTATCAAGCCCGGAGAGGACTTGATAACAAAGGCAGCAGAGACAAGTTCAGGTACTAAGGAGCTGAGAGAAAATGCCAACATGAGACAAAGAGGGAGAAAAAAAGAACCCTCCCCTCACAAACACCTATTCTTTAACCACAGCACCTAGAATCAGATTGCCCCGCAAGTGACAAATGGAAGCAACTGGGAGGCTATTTTCAGAAAGTAGGTGTCATTTAAAAAGGAAAAAAAAAAAAAAGAGAGAGAGAAGAGAAGCCCCCTTTCCCATGGAAGCGTTGTATGAAGAAGCAGCACCAGCCTGTACCTTGTTGGCAGCTGCCTTGGGTCTGAAGAAAGCATGAGATCCTACCTTTTCGAAAGAGCTCCCTTGCCAGCAGTGGCTCCTTGTGCTGGTGTCTCCCTCTAGTCTTTTGACACTGAGCAGACTGATTTAAATCAGGTAATGGCAGGGATCCAAGCAGGCGCTCTCGGTCCAGCATGGGCACAAGGTGCCAGGAACAGTCTCTAAAAACAAACCTCAAACACTCTGTGACCTTTGAAAAGGGGGGAGGGAAGGGTGTCATACTAACCTTTCTGATTACATGTGCACAGGGAAGATACAGAAAAAAAGTACATTTTGTGAAGAGAGATCAGCTGAATTTTCACACTGGTAACTTACAGTGCTGGCAAACTCAGCTACTAGGAAGGACTTTATATAGCTTACATGAGTGATGAAAGAAATTAACCAGCTGAGTGTTTTGCACGTATGCTCATGTTCAGATCTGTAATGGAGGCGGCAACCTGCACCTGGTATACACTACATTTAAGAGATTGCGTTATCTCCTCCCTGAAGACAGAGAGAGAGAGTATGTGTGTGTGGGTGTATGTGTGGGAGCGCGCAGCTTTCAGATCAGATAATCACTTTTCCCCCCCCGAACCAACCACTTCTGAAAGAAGTTTGAATCAAGCCTAAAACTAACCAAGACTTTAGAAACTGTATGGAAGGATCCAGCATCACCAATTAGACTATTGCAATGACCTAATAAAACACAAATAGCAATTTTTAGATGGCAATAACTAAATTCTTGCACGAGTCCTCTGAAAATGACAGATTGAGTCTCTAAGACCAGATCAAAATCTGATAGGAAAAGATACACTGCTGTAACAACAAAGTGATTGAATTCATCTAAACTATGAAGTTGCTGAAATACAGTAACTTGCACTTACATGACAGCATTCATTCCAAAGGATTGTATAAACTGAAGTGATACCAAAACTATCCTAATAGGATCAGGCATCACTGAGATCTCTGGGGTGGAATTCAGTAGCGAGTCCACAGAGGGCAGCACCTCAGTACAATGGAAAAGAAAGCCCTCTGCCCAGCTGAATAGGCATGAGTTGCATTGTATGCCTCCAATAACACAGCAAATAAGTATTTTCTTACTTTTAAGCTGTCTGTTGTATTCACTTGAGGCTTTTGAAGCTCATCTTAAACATGCTGCCCACCTTCCAGACATGACCAAAGCCTTGAGTTTTAATTGGAACTTTTGCTGCATTGTGCTTATTGCCTCATATAAGCTCAAAATAATGTCCAGGTCAGAGAGAAAAGGAAGGAAAATGGAAAAGGAAAAAAAAGAACGAACCCAGTGTTTTCAGCACCTGACCTGGTCACCAGATTGGGCGTATGGGACAGATTGTTCTTAATATTTCATCTGCCCTCACTTAAACCTGTGCTTGATTTCTAACCTCCCTCCTCAGCTCCCTGCTGAGGTACCTGGGGTAGTCCACCAGGTAAACCAGAACAACAGAAAAATCAAAGCATTCAACATTCAAGGAAAGTGTTTTGCTGAAAGAATTCAAACAAAACCTGTAACATTACAGGGAAATCAAGGCAATTCTGATCTTCCCCCCTCCCTGCTCTCATAAAGTTGATATCTAATCAACCAAACAATGGTGTAAGGAATTGGCTTGAAAGCCCAGGAAATTAAACTTCTCTCTAGTCCTATAGCAAGCTATTGAATGGAAACGAGCAGAGCAATTTCCATCCACCCTTACACATTATCTTGCCATCCTTCCTTACTTCAGAGGACCATGTGATGGGTACAGCCCCTTCAGCTCATTCTGTACTTGGTCCCTTGACTAAGACAACCAAGAAAAATAAATCACAGTTGTCCAATGTGACCAGATATCCCCAGCCTAAGCAAAGGCAAGACCCACATTCAAGGAGGCTTGCAATACAGCTAGAGTAGCGAGCCTGGCTAATGAAAGCACAGCTTAAACCAGTAAAGCAAGTGTTTTGGCCCAGATAGCTTCTGTTGGCCCCTGGAGCAGAAATACACTATGCCAGGCTGAAGCACTCCTAATGCATCTGTACTAGGACTTCTTCTGGCACAGAACTGTCTACACACACCACACCCATAACTAACATTATTATATTGGCTAATGTTGATAACAAAGATCTGGCTTAGATGCAACTTCATTTCACCTAGGCTACTGAACAGCAATCAGAGAGCACTGACTTTTGGTCACTACCACAGACTTGGAAAGAATATCCCTGGTGACCTGGAGGTTAACAGTGCCCTTATCCCAGTACCTCTCCCATCCATAACCTCAAAACTTTGTTTCTACTACGTCAACTTTTTCCAAATTTTGCTTGCCAGAACCTGTACACCCATCCCTGACCTGGAGCTAAGAGAGACCATGCAAGCAGGCCTCACCTACACAGTCTCCACCCAAAAGCAAGTGTGTGGGAGGCACATGAGAACTGACAGCAGTAGATTACCAGGAATAACTTGCCCAGGAAGTAAGAAGTTTCCAGCAGAGAAACCAGGACATGCAATTCAAACTCTCCACCAACTTATCTTCAATGACTGCCTACACAGTCAACCCAGTTTGCCTTGCAGCAGCACCATGCAAAGGCAGGGAGGAAGAGGCAGAAGCGGTTTGCAAGCAGCTTGCATAGCATGCAGTAGAGGTGTTGCCAGCAACGCTGTAATTCAGGTTGCCTCCAGATTTACGATACAGCATAATTAAACTCCAAATTTAAAACAACACCTTGCAAAACAACTGCATGTGCTGATATTGGTTTGGTAGGATATTTGCAAATGTTAGCAGTAGAAAGAAGTTCCTTTCTGAAGACATGTTCTGACTTGAAGTTCTTCAAAATTGGGAGTGGCTCTTCCTTAATAACTTTACAGCACCTCACACAATGGGTTCCAGGCTGGACTAGGACCTTTACATGTAGAGCAGGGGTTCCCAATCTGTGGTACGCAGACAATCTGTCAGTGGTACACATTAACAGATTTATTATAGTTACTTTCCATGACAGAAATTTACTTCTGGTACTTAAGGCTGAACTGAAACATTTGTTGGTGGTACTTAAGGTTGTATCATTTTAAATTGGCCGTGTGCAATTTGTCAGAGGTTGAGAACCACTGATGTAGAGAAGCACCTGGCTGGGGTCATTTGACCCCA